ATCTCTCTCTGAATCGTCCTCTCTGTCTCTCTGAGTCGACCTCTCTGTCTCTCTGAGTCGTCTTCTCTGTCTCTCTGAGTCGTCCTCTCTGTCTCTGAGTCGTCCTCTCTCTTAGTCGTCCTCTCTCTGAGTCGTCCTCTCTTTCTCTCTGAGTCGTCCTATCTCTCTCTGAGTCGACCTCTCTGTCTCTCTGAGTCGTCCTATCTCTCTCTGAGTCGACCTCTCTGTCTCTCTGAGTCGTCCTATCTCTCTCTGAGTCGACCTCTCTGTCTCTCTGAGTCGTCCTATCTCTCTCTGAGTCGTCCTCTCTGTCTCTCGAGTCTTCCTCTCATTCTCGGAGAGCGAGAGAGAGGAAGACTTACAGAGAGAGAGAGAATATGACTCAAAGAGGACGACTCAAAGAGAGAGAGAGAGGACGACTTACAGAGAGAAGACGACTCAGAGCGAGAGAGCGAGGGCGAGTCACAGAGAGAGAGGACGACTCAGAGGCGCCATGAGGAGGAACCACAGTCGAGCGGGAAGGCAGCAGCTGCCACGCGCGCTTAGGAGCTGGCATCAAATTCCTCCCCACTCCGAGCTCTGCGGCCCTCTACATGTGTTGGTGTTAACGAGCAATTAACGAGTGTTGACATGCGGGTAGGAAACCGGAGCATCCGTTGAAAACCCACGCTTGCGAGGGGGAAACGCTCTATCCCTTACAGAAAGGACAGATGACATTCGTCCGCATTTTGCCGTAGCACCTACACCCTGCAAGCCAGGGCCATCGCTCCTCCACGGTGCTGGATTTCAGGCCACGTGCACAGCCACCGCCGCATCCTGCAAACGATCGCCCGCCGGCCTTCAGCGTGAACTCGAATTTCATTTCAGCGACGAGATAGTAACGATAAAGCTTTCCTCTTAACGCACGCCGCGCGTAGAACAGCGACCAACGACTCGCCGATACTCATCAAAGCTCAGCAATTAAGCACGAATGTTTATCCCACTGCTAAAGTCGGCCGTGGCCATCGATTGTCCCGAACTTCACTGGCGAGCGAGCGGAAACAATGACGCTTGGCGCGCCGTTAAACGCTGGCGGCACCCGTGACAATTCAATTTTAGATCTGGCGGTCGGGTGGTGGAGGGTTCCACTACAGCAGCAACAACAACAGCAAGAAGGAGAGATAATTGGCTCCTGGCCATTCCGTGGCCTGACTCAAAAAATAATAATGAATCATTAATGTTTACATTAGTCGCAATTTGACCAATGCATCACATTTTGACCCGTAGCTCGGTGATGTTACCCCTCTTGCTGGAACAGTAAAATCCTGCTCCTGTCTTGATCACCGGAGCTCTCGCCCGCTTAAAGTGGTTACACTTAAACGAATAGAACTTAGAACAACTCAAACTTATCCAACCGCTCGATGAAGGCCTTCCCACTGCCGTGTCGGTCGTGGGAGTTGCTCGACCCGCGGCTAACCGATCTCAACCGTGGCAGGGAGTCACACCGGAGTGCGCTAACCGATGCACCGCCGCTCCGCGCGCACGCACCACGGCGCCGTAGCGCCGTTCCTCGCCGATTCCCCCCAGCGCTGCCTCGGACTTCAATCGGCCTTACCGCAGGCGCCACTTCCCCCATCGCCCCATCAAATCATCCTGGGAGGGAAAAGCCACCAAGGCTTCGGCATTATCTCGTTAGTGCCCTTTTTTTCTCTTCCGAGGCTCGCGTTGCCACTCGCTCGCTCGCTCTCTCCGTTTCGACCGTGCGTTGTTCCCGGCGAAGGGCAGAGGCCACGCGCGCCTGCTAAGGATCCACCGCTGGCAATCATCTCCACGCCCGCTCGATTCTTTTATTATTATTATTGGCTCTGCCTTTCCCACCCAATGTTATTCCAGTCGTAGTAACAATGTGCGCACTTGCTAATTGGCGCCGTCGTTCCCGTAGCGGTGGTTAGGCGATCGCCGCGGCGGGAAGCCAACCGCCGGCTTTCGCCGACTCAGCCTGCGGCGGCTTCACAGCGGAGGGAGCTTTTACCGCGCGAGATCCCAATTGAGCGGCCGCTTGCGGTGTCATTAGTTAACATTTTGGTAAATTCGGGCCACGACGCCGGCATAATACGCGACTTTTTAGCGGAGCCTTCGTATCGTTATGATTGATGCCGCCACTGCAGTGTTAACCGGGGCAGCCCGGCGGACTCGAACCGCGAACCGCTGGGCTCGCGTCGCCGCCCTGCGGCGCCGTCGGCAATTGACCGCCGCGGGTGGGAGGGGCTGGGTGGGTGGGGGCCACGGCCCCCGCCCCCGCGGTGTCGGTAGGCACCGGCCTCGTGGCCCATCCTCACAGCTCGGCCGCTTTGAATGGCACCACGGTGGCTAGGAGATGTTAACTACCTCGCCTGGTATGCGGGAGGTCGTGGGTTCGATCCCGACCCTGACGCCTGCTGTATATTTGGAGTTTGCGTGTCTCTCTCCCCGTGGTCGCGTGGATTTTTCTCCTGGTCCTCCGGTTTTTCCCTGTCCAGATTTAGAAACGTTCGTTTGGAGTATTTGCCTGCTATACATTTCCACGTGACGATAAGCTACTTCGTTGAGATATCATTAATTTGTGGCCAGACCGCTTCTGAAAACGAGCTGCAGAGCTCAGAGTGGGGGATCTTACCTCATAAAATGTAAAAAATAGAATTAACAGAAATGAAACCTCGCGGGCAGGCGGGCGGAGAGACGCACTCGGGGCACGTGGAGCTCACGTGAAATGATCTCAGAGAGCCGGGCTAATTGGGTTGTTGAAGTTACCGACGGCTCTGGCGATCCCCCCTCCTCTGGTTACTCGACAAATCGGATAACGGCGAAAATAGTTGGGGAAGCAAGTCCCGCCTCGGTTCTACGCTTCGTGCGCCGCTGGACGGGAGGTGTTGGGCGGGGCTTGGTGATGCCGTCAGCTTCGTCGTTGAGCCGCGTCACGCTGGGCGTAGCTTGCGGGGGGGGGGGGGGGTTCCTGCCTTCGGTAGACGTGGTGTCGGGATGGCTGACGTTGTTAAAAAGCCCGAGTAATCGAGGCGCTGTCTGTCACAAGTGTTCGAAGCGTCCCGGGACTCCAGGCCCAGCAGTCGAGGAGGCTTCGATCAAAAATTGAGTTGCTGATTTTCCCCATTGGCAGCCCTGGGCGAAGGGGGCAACCGTCTCTCCCGTAGCGAGCACGCGCGTGCCGCCCCCTGCCCAGCGATCGGCCCCCACGTGGAGGCCGTACCGCTGAGCGAACCGCGTCAGCCAAAAAGGCGCAACGCGGTTGCCCTCCCGGCGCAACCGGGAACCAACCGGGAGCCGGAGGGTGGCACGGGACGGGTGTCAGCACGTGCGCACTCGCTCAAGAGCGCACGCGAATGTCCGCGACGTCATCTCCGCCGCCGAGGTGGCAATCGCAAGAGGCGCGCGATACATTCGATTTCTGTTTTTGATACGAAAAAAAACCCCCAAAACAACAAGAGAAAACTTTTCACGCCGGATCATCCGAAACCCATTTAGATAAATCGGCCGTGAAGCTCCGTGTCGGCACGTGGGCACCGTTCTAAAAAAGCCCCCATGTTTGTTGCGTAATATGTTTCACAGGCGCAGAGATAACAGAAATTCACTTTGTTAAATCACTTATACCAGCGTGTACATTCCCGGAGGGCTCCCTTTATCTCCGTGACGGAGATAAACATGCCAAGGCCAATCTGCGAGCAATGCGCGCTCACCTCTAGCACGGAGTGAGAAGCCCCCCCCCCCATCACTCCCATCCCACCGCTAGTTCCCCTTCTCGAGTCTTGGAGTGAGGGGGACCTCCGTCTCCTGCAGGGGTCCTGGAATGAAGGGGCCCCGTTTCAGGGGATCAAAGTAACTGGAGACACGCGTTGAGATTATTTCCATTATTTTGCTGCTATACATTCCCACGTGATAAGCCACTGTGTTGACCTGTCATTAGTGGTAACCAGGTCGCTTCTAATAGATACGTTGATACCACAGTGGCCTTTACCTGGTGACATAACATGTAATTGTATTTGTATATTTTTTGTAAAGTGATTTGTTTACCTTCAATATTACTTTGCACTCCTATCGTGTTTTTATGTTGTTGTTGTAACGCTCTTACCCCGTGCCCCTCCACTGGACATCTGCAGTATAAAGAAATATTCTGATTCTGAACTGCGGGGATCACGCCACGCGATACTTTTTTCCGGTTTTGTGAGCTCCTGGCTCTCGCAGTGCAATGGCAGACGACAAACAAATATAAATCCATCCCACCTCTTGTTAAATTTAATACAGTCGCTGAGCACAGGACAATGTGTCGGGAGACCAGCAACAGAGAGCACTATCAAGTCTATAATCGAGCAAGGTTACTGTTCTAAGGGCTTGGGAGACCGGAACGATAGACGACGATGATGATGAAGGGGAAGGAATTCCAAAGTGGGGCAGTGCAAGGGAAGCAGAAATACAAAGTATTGTGAGCTGCGGTGCAGTGAATGAGTCAGTGGGTGAGTGAGTCAAAGGGTGAGTGAGTGGGTGAGTCAGTGGGTGAGTGAGTGAGTGGGTGAGTGAGTCAGTGGGTGAGTGAGTGAGTGAGGAGTGTTGTTGTGACCTGCACAGTGTGGTTATTGACCTGCACAGTGTGGTAGTTGAACGGATGAGACGACAAATACATAAAGTATGGTGTTGTTCGCGAGACATCGATAGTGAGGTTGTTGTGAGCTGCGAGATGGGGCCTGTATATCTGAGATCCGTGCAGCGTCTGCTGCTGTTAATTCATTGCGAAACAAACAATCTGGGTATAAAAAAGCAGGCACACACACGAAGTGGGGGATTTTGCGAAGATGACATCAGCTGGCCGGGCCTCTCGGCTGGCCAGGATCAGCAGCGCCGCGGCCGCCACGGTGAAGAATCCGCGCCCCCCAGATGTATGTTATTTTTTACGGTGAATTATTAATGGTGGAGATGCACGACACAGGTTCCGTACATTAGCAGGGTTTAAAAAGGAATTGATTACCACTCACCTTGAATGTGTGCCGCCGTGGACGGACAAATGCATAATTTATCGGCGTCTTGAAGTAAAGCGCTGAGGAGCGAACGATTTAAAAAATCGAGGGCAGGGTGGGAGGGCCCGCGTGGAATGGCATCGCCGCAGTCGCCAAGGCAGCCAGAGCGCCGAGTCTCGCTTGGAGATTTCTCACTGGTTGGGATAAAATAACAGTGTACATGAATAGTATTCGTGAATATTGTTGTTGTCGTTGAGCGAGGTAATTATTGCGAACAGAGGTACAATAAATTGCGGTTTAATATCATCTGTCCCTTCCGTACGGGATACAATGTTGACCCGATAACTCCTTTATATGTACAGCACCGCAGAGCTTGGGGAGGGATTTTTGTTGTTTTCGCACGACAGAAATGTTCGCTTTGCCAAAACGATGCCGCCACGGCGGTGGTGGTGGCGCGATGGTTTGGCGCTGTGGTGGTGGTGGTGACGCGATGGTTTGACGCGGTGGTTTGGTGTGTTGATGGTGGCACGATGATTTGGCGCTGTGGTGGTGGCGCGATGATTTGGCGCTGTGGTGGTGGTGGTAGTGGTTTGGCGCTGTGGTGGTGGTGGTAGTGGTTTGGCGCTGTGGTGGTGGTGGTGGTGGTTTGGCGCTGTGCTGGTGGTGGTGGCACGATGATTTGATGCCCTGGACTTGCAAACGCAGAGGTCGCCGGGTGGATTCGATCTCCCGGCGTGGCGGTGCAAGCGACGGTTGCGAGCTTCTCAAATCCCTTCGCTACCCCGCCACGCCTCTGTCCAGCTGGCAGTGTCGATGGGTAGAAGTCTACGGTCGGCGCGTCGCGTGTGGCGGGGTAAAGTGTGGGTACCTCCACCTCTTCCAACACGGCCGGTGGGCGTTCGTCGGCCAAACACCCTCGGATTGGAGGACCCTTCCGCCAGCAGTGGTGCGAGCGGCAACTGCAAGGGCTGCGCCTTTACCCATTCTCTCGGTGCTAACGATGCTGAAGTAGTGGCAATTTCAGAGGACGTGCGGAATGGGCTGGAATTCATATAATCACTGCGGTGAGAAGCCCAATGGGAGAGGAGCACGCTCGACGAGAGAGCATTCTCGCTCTGCTCAGCAGCAGCATCGGCAGACACTGTGCTGCTGCTGATGCTGCTACTGCTGCTGCTGATAATGATGATGTTGCTGCTAATGATGATGCTGATGCTGCTGATGGTGAGATTATGCTGCTGCTGTTGGTAATGCTGCTGCTTCTGATGATACTGCTGCTGATGCTGCTGCTGCTGCTAATGATGATGCTGCTGATGGTGAGGATTATGCTGCTGTTAATGATGCTGCTGCTTCTGATGATACTGCTGCTGATGATGCTGCTGATGATGATGATACTGCTGCTGATGATGCTGCCAATGATGATGGTGAGGATTATGCTGCTGCTTCGATGATACTGCTGCTGATGATGATGATACTGCTGCTGATGATGATACTGCTGCTAATAATGATGCTGCTGATAGTGATAATTATGCTGCTGCTGCTGTTGATGATGCTGTTGATGATGCTGCTGCTGCTGATGACACTGCTGCTGACGATGCTGCTGCTGCTATTGATGATGCTGCTGATTATGACGATGATGCTGCTGCTGATGATGATGATACTGCTGCTGACGATGCTGCTGCGAGGGCCCTCGCCACTGCCCCAGGCTCGGGCCAAGCTTCCCGTGTCGCCGAGCCGAGCGACAGTTTCCAGCCCTGCCTGTCCGAGGCCGCGTGAGCTCTCACACACGCGGCCCGCCGTGCGCCACGCGCGCCGCAGGCCCCAAGGCCCTCGGCCCTTCCCAGTCAACGTGGCCCCGTTGGGCCAACGTTCAGCTCGCGCCGTCAAAACCCGACGATGAGCCCAACGGCCCCTAAACCTACAAACCAAACTTGGCCCAAAGTTGGCCCGATGGTACCAAACGGCATGCCAACGTCGGTTCCAACGGTGGCATGCGGTTGGAACCGTTAGGCCAACATTGGCATGCGGTTGGTACCGTTGGGCTAACGTTGGGCCAACGTTGGCTGGGGTTGGAACCGTTGGGCCAACGCTGGCACGCTTACTGGGTTCTCGTGTCCCAAGTCTAATAGGGGTGGGGGGGGGGGGGGGGGTGAGCCGACCAGGCCATCAAGACAGCCAAACAACTTGGGGCGGGGGGGGGGGAGAGATTCTCAACGGTCGAGAGGCGGGGATCAGATCGCGCACGATCCCGCAGAAACGGACAGCGGCGATCAGGGAGTGAGGGATTGGCAATTAATTAATTAACGAGCGCCGCATCCTTCTTCCCCCCTCCCGCTTCCAGGATCAAGCGGCGGAGAGGGGGGGCCGAGCGGGGCCGAGCGGGGCCCGCCAGCCCCCCCCCTCCCCCATCGGCGGAAACGATTCAGAACGATTCGCTTTCAAGCGGGGCGAGCGAGGGGTTAGGGTGGGTGTTGGGTTGCCACGGCAACCGTCATCAGACGAACCATGGATCCGCGCCGCCTCAAGAGGAACGCCGGGGACTGCAAATTGGATTTCTAACGGCGGAGTCTCTCCCCGCACGCATTCCGCGATGATTGTTCTACTTCTTCTCTCCGTGGAAGAGTCGTGGATCTCCCTCCCTCCCCTCCCATCCCCTCCCTCCCTCCCTCCCCGCGGAGAAATTCTGCGAAGGTCAATTGTCGAAAACAAAATAGGCATCATTATCTCGTTCCGTCAAGACAGGCGTTCTGGACCAAAAAAATATATGTGTATGCGTGTGTGTATAAAACCGCGCGCATGTGTGTGTGTGTGTGTGACTGCAGAAATATACCACATCTCACACTCGCTCTCGTGTACTCACTCGTTTTGCTGTAATTTTCCCGGACGCGCGCATGCGCGCACACGCACGCGCACAATGTCACTCACACGCACGCACGCATTCAACCACAAATACATTGACACGTATTGTCACGCGCACACACACACGCGTGCACGCGCGCGCACACACGCACTGTCGCTCACACACACACACGCACGCATTCAACCACACACACACACACGCGCGCGCATTGACGCTCACTCACACACAGTCAACCACACACATACACAAGTATTCTCACTCAAGGACAAAGTTCCCCCGTGTAGTCTAAAACACTGTTGACGCAAGTGCCGTTAGCGAGCAGCACCTTAGAAAGCCGGCACGACACGTGGGTAGGTGTGTGGTCAGCACCACGCCCGGCCGCCTTTGTCTTCCAAGTAGCGATTTATACACACCGTACCAGGCACTCAATTGAGGCTGAGTCGACCTAGGGGAGGCCCAAGACCGGTTCAGATAATTGGTCACCGATGTTGGCCGTGAGTGGGATTTTTTTTAACTCGGGTCGCCGGGTTCGTAGCGCAAACCGCTCCACAACCGCTCACCCACTGAGTGACTCACACACACACACGCACGCGCGCATTCTCACTCACAAACAAACGCATTGAACCACGCACGCACACACACACACACGCATTGACCGTGTCCGTCCAGTGCTCGCCGAGCTGCATTGGCTTCCGGATGCTGAATACATTAAAAGGTCTCACTCATTACACACAAAGTGTTTGCTGCAAATGAACCACAGTAACCTTGCCGACCTCTTCAAAGAGAATACATTGTCACGTGAACTTCCATCATCGTGGCAGCGGCGTTTGGCGAACCATCGAACAAAGGCGGTCACCGCATCGCGTACTTTCAGATGGGCTTCTGCGGCCGTCTGGAACGCTCTTCCTTCCGATATTAGGAAGCCACTGGAGCTGTGCACTTTTAAATCATCGAGATTGAAAACTAAGTTCTTCGTGTTTAGTTTGTTGTCCTTCACCCCCCGCACCTCTGATTAGCACGCTTGGCTACGTACGGTGCGAAAGAAGTTCAACATACATGCATACTAACCACACACACACATGCATTCAACCACACACACAAACTCAACCACACACACTCAACCACACGTACTCAACCACGCACACACACTCAACCACACAACAACAACAACAACCGCCATTCGCCACTAAGTGGCGGTGACGTCACTACGACGCTTGTGCCAGGCCATGTGCACCTTGAGGCCACGTGAAGTGTCGAACACCCGCTGGCAGGAGGTCACAAGGCAGACCCAGGTGCCACGGGTCGACTGACTGAGATGACTGGCTGATGCACCACCTGTGCCCCCTACTGTGCCAACCTGCTGTGCTTTAGCCACCCGGCGCTCCGCTTGTTGTTGTGAGCGTCGTTCCTTCGCCCTCCGTTGTTGTTGGAGGGCGACTACCTCCAACTGCCCAGTAGCGTCCTTCACGAGCCTCCTCCACAGAGGCCGATCTTGACACCGCTGGTACCAGTCATCGGCAAGTCCACTCAGCTCCACATCCTCCTGTACCACATCACTCCATCTCTTCTCTAGCCCGTGCCGCGCCCGATTAGCCCCCTCGATCCGGCCGAACAAAAGCTGTTTCGGCATGCGGTGGCTGGGCATGCGGGCTACATGACCCAGCCAACGCAGCCTTGTCTGCCGGAGGAGCTCACCGATGGGACCGTGCCCAGATCTTTCAAGGATTTGTCAGCTCCTCACACAATCCAGCCTGGTTAAACCCAGGATGGATCGTAGGCAGGCTAGCCTAAATGTTTCTAACCGGCGAAGATGTTCCATTAGGGGGGTCCACGTTTCGCAAGCGTAGAGAAGGGAGGGAATGACCGTGGCCGAGAAGACCACGCACACACACTCAACCACACACACACTCAACCACACACACACTCAACCACGTACACACATTCAGCCACGCACACACATTCAACCACACACACACATTCAACCACACACACACATTCAACCACACACACACACATTCAGCCACGCACACACATTCAACCACACACACACTCAACCACACACACACATTCAGCCACGCACACACATTTAGCTACGCACGCACGCGCACAGACACACACACACACACGCGTCAACGGAGCTGCCGCAGGGCTCAGCGACGCCGCCAACGGAGGTCGCGCGCACATTTGCATACGCGGATGACCCCTTACCCTGGCAACGCAAGCGGCCACCCTCGATGACATCGAGCCCACCCTGAACCACGGAGCCCACCCTGAACCACGGAGGGGACATCTGCGGACGCGGAGGCACAAACCAAAGCCCCTCCACAAAAAAACAGCAGTCGCTGCGGTCGTCTCGGCAACAGAAATGCCGAACGCGCCCCGCGGATGGTGACCTTCGGCGGCAAAAACACCGCCACAGCGTGACCCTCACGGCGACCTCCCCAGGTGTGAAACTGGACCGCGCGCCGACCTTCCACGACCCCCTGAAGACGGTAGCCGCTCAGGCGAGGACGGGGTTCAACTTGGTGCCGGAAACCGACCATGCGCAAGTCGGGGAGCGTTGGCATCAGTCGTAGAGACACCGACAATGCCACCCCCTCCCCCACCTCTTGTGCACTC